TAAGTCCAGGAGTTCAAGGACAGCCTTGGTAACAAAAACAAAAAAATCTTTGTTCACCAAATAACATTATCAAGAAAGTGAAGGAGTTGTGGACTGGCTCAAGTGGTAGAGCACCTGCCTAGCAAGTATGAGTTCAAACCCCAGTACTGCCAAAAAAAAAAAAAATACAAATGACCAAGAAGCACTTGAAAAGGAAATGCAAATCAAAACCACAATGGCAGCTAGTGTGGTAGTACATGCTTGTAATACCAGCACTCAGGAGACAGAGATTTTGAGTTCCTGGACAACTTGGGCTACATATAGAAACACTGTGTCAAAAACAAACAAAAACCAGCCAGAGGCTGACTCCTGTAATCCTAGCTACTCAGGAGGCAGAAATCAGGAGGATGGAGGGTGAAAACCAGACCTGGGTTTGTGAAACCCTATCTGGAAAAAAAACATCACACAAAAGGGCTGGTGGAGTGGCTCAAGCAATAAGAGTAGCTGCCTAGCAAATGTGAAGCCCTGAGTTCAAATCCTAGTGCCCATTGCTGCTAGAAACAAAACAAAACAAAAAACCCACCTCACACCTGTTGGCATAGCTATAATAAAATCTCATGATGTTCTTATTTTTTTTTCTTGTAGTGCAAAACAAACTAAAAGAAAGAGAACCAGGGAAGAGGGCAAGCTGGGTCTGCTCCAGGTTACTCTGTATTGTGTAGAACAGCAGCTTTAGGGCTGGGCCTAGCTTTGATATCATTCTATGAAGCAACAGTTTTGACCTCAGCTACTCCATTTTGAGTATAAGTGCAAAATAGAATGACTCTACATCTACTTTATAAAAGTAAACAAATACCATCTATCAGCATCTGTGAAACACAAGCTGATACTCAATGCCAGGAAACAATAACACCTAAAAGTCATATCAGAAACACCGGACACAGGAACTTATCAGTCACCCCACATGTAACCCTTCACCTGGGGACTATAAAAGGAGGAACACCCCAAGACTGAGACATAGCAGGCACACTGATCTGTCACCTGATCACTAGTCACAAGCCTGGTCTAGGAAAGTTGCCAAATTGAAGGATCTCTGCCTCTGTCCCTGGGCTCCAGCTATAGTTCAATTTCTCTGACTGTGACATACAGCCCCCTGGAAGTGGCCTGCCATCCCAGCCTTCATTGGACAAGTCTGTACCTTGAACAGAAGGCTCCTGCAGTTAGTGAAACGTATCTGGTCCTACACAGATCTTCCTTCATCTGTTTCTCTGTGGTGTCTTTAGCACTACTCTTCTCCACTCTGCTTCTCTTTACCCATTCTTAGCCATTCTGAAACCTATACATTGTTATTATGTGAAGTGTAATGTGTGATCTGAGAGTTAATATTAGTAATTATGTTCAGAATAAAAGAACCTGTGCTGCCATGGGTATAAAGTGAACTGAGTAGTACTTAGTGAATCAAAGCCAACAAAATGGGTTGGGCACCAGTCTCTCACTCCTGTAATTCTAGCAACTCAGGAGGAGGAGATCAGGAGGATCACAGTTTGAAGCCAGCCCAGGCAAACAGTTCATGAGACTCTAGATCTGGAAAAAATCCTGTACCAGAAAGGACTGACAGAGTGGCTCAGGTGGTAAAGCACCTTCCTCACAAGCCTAACAAGTGTGAAGCCCTGAGTTCAAGCACCAGTACCACACACACACATACACACACAAAAAGCCACTGAAATAGATGTAGCTTGTGGATTCATACTTGTCTATGTTTGTGACGTAGCTTGTTCGTGACACAAGTGCTGGGATTGTGGAGAGATTGAAACCTTCAGACTTTGTTGATGAGAATGCACAATGGTGTGACTGCTGTGGGAAAGGTCACCACTTCTTCAAAAGCTAGACAGATTTCCCATGACCCACTATATATGTGAAAGAATTATAAACCAGGCATGGTGACTCACTCCTATAATCTCAGCTACCTAGGAGGCAGAGGCAGGAGTTTGAGGCCAGCTTGGGCAAAGTTAGCAAAACTGTATCTTAAAAATAAATAAAAGAGCTGAGGGCATAGCTCAAGTGGTAGAGTGCTTACCTGGCAAGTACAAGGCCCTGGGTTTAATCCCAAGTATTATAAATAAAAAACCAAAAATGAATTTTAAACAGGTTCTCAAATAGATACTTATGAATCTGTGTTTGAACTCAGGGCCCACACCCTGAGCCACTCCACCAGCTCCTTTTTGTGATGGGTTTTTTCGAGATAGTGTTTCCCAAACTATTTGCCCAGAGCTGCCTTTGAACTATGATCCTTCGATCTCTGCCTCCTGAGTAGCTGGGATTACAGGTGTGAACCACAGCACCCAGCTTTCATTGCAGCATTTTTGTTTTACAATGACCAAAAGGTGAAAACATCTCACAACTGAATAAACAAAATCTGGTATGTACATATGGTGAATATTCTTCAGCCATAAAAGGGATGAAGTTCTGATCCATGCTACAAGATGATGGACTTCACATTATACTGAGTGCAATAAGCCAAACACAAAAGGACAGCTACTGTGATTCCACTTACATGGGGTGACTAGGGAAGGCAGACTATCAAGGCAGAAAGTATAAGCAGCTAACAAGGCAGAGGGAAGAGAAGAGAGGAAACCAGGGAATTATTGCTTCCTGGTTATCTGTGATGAAAATATTTTGGAAACAGGGCTGGGGGCGTAGCTCAAGTGAGTGATGGTGATGGTTACCTAACATTATGTGAGTCATGTCACTTAAAATGGTGAAAACTGCGGGGCGCTGGTGGCTCACACCTGTAATCCTAGCTACTCAGGAGGCAGAGATCAGGAGGATCAAGGTTCAAAGCCAGTCTGGGCAAATACTTCGTGAAACCCTGTCTTGAAAACACCCATCACAAAAAAGGGCTGGTGGAGTGGCTCAAGGTGAAGGCCCTGAGGTCAAGCTCCAGAACCACCAAAAAAAAAAGAGATGAAAACGATAGATTTTAATATATTTATTTTTTACCACAATGTCTTTTTAAAAAACAGAGAAGAAGCACATTAAGGTTTGTCCCTTGGTTCATTCCCCTCCTGTCTCCAGATCCTGGTCTGGTGGCTTTTTTTCTTACAAGCACTTAAAGCCAAGGAAAAACAAAAACACTTTTCATTTTCTTTTCCTTTTAGAAACTGATCTATCACACTCTTTGCTGGGTGGCATAGCTTTGCCATCTGAATGCTGGCCCAGATTCAGGAGTCTGTGGACTGTATGAAACTATGCTGCAGGTCAGACCCCTGCCCTTTGTCACCCCAGTACCTGCTGCTGTGCCACAGGACACAGTCCTTATCTTTATAAGTAGTTTGTTGTCCTGGAGGGAAAAGATATCCAGGAGAACATTCACGTCTGGATCAATGTTTCCTTCATGTCAGTCATTTGGATCTTTTCTTACTAATTCCTATTAGTATATTCTTTGAATGGAATCATTTGATAGAAAACTTTTCCATCATAAATAGGAAAACTATTATCACTTGTCATACATGTCAATGATAAGCTCAAAAATCACCAAAGCAGTTTAAGGTTTACCTTTATATTATTGTCCACCAAAAGTTTGAGCCTAGGATCTGAACTCTCTGCCAAAAAGGTAAACAAGGAGCTGGGCACCAGTGGCTCATGCCTGTAATCCTAGTTATGCAGGAGGCAGAGAGCAGGAGGATCATAATTCAAAGCCAGCTCTGGGCAAATAGTTCTTGAGCACAAAAACTGGTCTGGCAGAGTGGCTCAAGTAGTAGAGCCTAGCAAGCAGGGGACCTTGAGTTCACACTCCAGTACTGCCAATAAATGAATGAATGAATAAATAAATAAATAAAAGGTAAACAAGGAGCCTGCTCAGCAACTTAAGCCTGGGACCCTAGTTACTCTGGAGGCAGAGATTGGGAGGATTACAGTTGGAGGCCATCCAGTGTAACAAGCTTCCCCCCCATCTCAAGTAATAAAAAGCTGGAGGTAGTGGCACACATCTGTCATCCCAGCTCAGAGGGACTATAAATAATAGGACTGTGGTCCAGGTCAGACAGGCATACCCCAAGGCTCTACTGGAAAAGTAAGCAAAGCAAAAAGAACTGGAGACATGGCTCAAGTGGTAGAGTGCCTGCCTAGCAAATGTGAAGCCCTGAGTTCAAATCCCAGTACAAGAAAAATAGTAAAAGAGTGCAGTTAAAAATATGAGCATTTTATAAAAAAAAAAAGAGAAAGATATGAGCATAAATAGGCTCTCTCCTGCCTGTAATGAAGTCCGAAAGATATTAACATTCTTAGTATGTGATTGAATGGAATTTACCAGTCCCATCAATTATGAGATATAAAATTTATCTTCAAGTATGTGTGTGTCTGTGTAGTTTGCCTTTGAGACTGGTGTTCAATTTTTTTTGTTGTACTGGGGTTTGAACTTAGGTTTGAGCTTGCTAGGCAGGTCCTCTACCACTCCTGCACTCCACTTTGCTCTGGTTATTTTGAAGATTGGATCCTCAAACTATTTGTCCAGGCTGGCCTCGAACCTTGAAACTCCCGATTTCAGCCTCCCAAGTAGCTAGGATTACAGGCGTGAACCACTGATGCCCAGCTTGTGTTGGGTATTTTTAAGAAGTTCATGCTTTTAGTATGGTCTGGCCTCGAACTGCTATCCTCCCAATTTCTGCCTCTTGAGTATTGGGGATTATCGCATAAACCACCGGGGCCCGGGGGACCGCTTCCGCTTTAGAAACCAGGCTGGTCTCGAACTTTTGATCCTCCAGCCTTCGCCTCCCAAGAGCTGGGATTACAAGCACGCACCACCAGTTCCACTCAAACTCCATACACTTTTGTAAATACTAGACACCGTGGGAGCGCCGAAGGGCCGCGGGTGGACCCAAACCGTAGTGCCAGGCCGGAGGCTGCTGGTGCAGCTTCCGCACTCGCGCAGTGCACGCTGGGGTGTGGCGGTGCGACTCTGTGACGCCCACAACGGGAGGGACGGGCCTGTCCGGGGGCGGGGCCACGTGCTGACGCCACACGCTGGGGCGGGGCCGAAGAGTTTGGTGCCCCAGAGTGGGGTGTCGGCGCTTCATTCGGGTGGAGCTGAGCCTGAGACAGGTAACCGCGCGCTGCCTCCGGGCCCGGTCCAGTGCTGGGCGGTGAGGCTTCTGTCAGTCGGGCATCCCAGTCGAGGATGAGGCCTCCGCGCCTTTGGTGCCGCGGGCGCGGAGGTGACGGCAGTGGAGCTGGACAGAGCGGGGCTGACCGAAGGCGGTGGTGGTGGGAGGGGAAGAGAATCGACGGACAGGTGTAGCAGCCAATGACGCGGCGGAGACCTCCTGGCGGGCGGAGATTGGCGGGTGCGAGCGCGCGCCGGGGGTCGCTCAGGGGCGGAGCTGCGTGCCATTGGCTGTGGGCGTCGGGGCGGGCTGCGGCGGCGGATGTAGGGCGCGGCGGCCCGGGTGACTCCCAAGGTCGCGGCGGTGTCACGTGGTGGCCACTGTGCGGCCCCGTCCTCTCGGCTGACGCCCGTCTCTTTGTCCTGCTTGCGCTGGCCCGCCCAGGCCGCCGTCCTGACTTTCGCAGCGCCTGGCAGGTCACGGCGCTGACCTTGGTGCTGGCGGCGACCCTACCTGCTGTCTAGGGTTGGCCAAGGTGAAAGTCGTTGCAGAAACGACTTCCTCGCACCCGTCCCCTCGCGAAATGTGTGCGGCAGATGAGTCGTGACCTCTGTGTTTAGAGGGAAGCTTGTCACCGCGCCCTCACCCCAACAGGCACCAAAGCAGACTGTGCAATCTCTGGCAAGTGTTGTAAAGGAGTTTATTCACATGGCGTGTGGACAGGGATCGCACATCTCCCTGGGGAGAGGGTTCAAGGGTGAAGAAGCAGGGTGGGCTCAAATTGACAGGCGACTGGAGGGAAGGCGAAGCCTAGCAGGCTGTGCGGTCTGCGCATGCGTTGTGTAACTTCCTGGCTCTAATCAGGATGTATGTACAGAAAATGGCTGCCTTACCATTTCAGAATGGAGTTTTAAGGTCTCTGACTTAAAAAGGTCACTCATTGGACACCTGCCCGAGGCCAGGTAAAGGATCAGTGGTTTCAGCCAGTTGGGGATAGACGAAAACAGTATCTCAAAGTTCCTGAAAACAAGTAGGCATGGTGACCTAAGCATTGCTTAGCTATGTGCATCCAAAGCTGGTGAGAAAAGCAAGTAGCTAAAAGTAGTGAAGGGCTGGGAGATTGGCTCAAGTGGTAGAGCAGATGCATAGCAAGCATGAAACCCTGAACTCAAACCACAGTACCACCAAAAAGATAAGTAAATAAATAAATGCAGTTTAAAAGTGAGCGAAGGGCTGGTGGAGTGGCTCAAGAAGTGGTAGAGCAGCTGCCTAGCAAACACGAAGTCCTGAGCTCAAACCCCAGTACCACCAAAAAAGATCAGTAAATAAATGTCATTTAAGAGTGATCGAAATAAAGGATTTACTCAAGTTTTTCCTAGGTTTCATGACCCTGACATGTTCCACCCTGACACTAAGCAGAGGAAACTTGGGATTTCCTTTCGGCTGGTCTGGCAGCCCTGCATCTGGTCACTGATCTTAGTAACTGCCATTAGGATGTAGCAGTCAAACCTCATTCCCTGTTTCTTTGTTGTGTAAACCCACCGGATAGGAAACTGTTTCACACTATGTAGCTTTGTAAATAACTCAGGACTGGATCTTGGGAAGTTGGAGAAAGATCAGAGTATCCCGATTTTTAACATATTCCCCTCTAAAATAACAGCTTTGTTGAGATACAATTCTTTTCAGACTTAACTCACATTTGGTAAAATTCACTCATTTGAAGTGCTCAAGTCAGTAGTTTCGGTATACTTACAGTTACCAACCATAACCACAATTCAGTTACTTTTAAGGACTTAATTTGAATTTCAGAAATACATAGTTATACACTAAATACACAGTCATACACTCATTTTTATTGCTTTTGTTTAAATTTGAGTGGTTTATTAAATGCCAGATAATTATCTTGCTTATTATATGTTTACTGTTTGTCCCCAATGGGGTCAGTTGAGAATGGGATCAGATAAAAAAGGAGCTCCTTTGTGAGTGCCATTTTGCAATGCCATTTCTGGTTTTTAAGGTAACTGCACAGATTATTGAGAAATATGAGAAATGCACATGCAGTCTATTGTTTGAAGTCATAACCAACAGTGGAAAGATCCTAGGATCCTTTCCCCACTTTTCCTCAGTGGTAATTTGAAGAACTACAGTAAATGTTCCAAGCAGATATTGACATTGAAACTCAAGATAGAGAAGATTTCAGCAGCACAAGTTCTCCTGTAGTCTCTCACAGTCACCCCCACTTTCCTCAGCCCTCCACATCTTGGCAACCACTGTTTGCTGATCCTGGCTGCTGTGAATGCCAAATAAAGGGACTTGTGCAGCCTTTTGGGATTGCATTTTTCCACCCGGCATCATTCCCAGAGATTTGTCCAGCATACAAATCCTGCACATTTTGTTTGACTTTACATCTGAGGTTTGATCTCAGGGCCTGTACTTGCTAGGTGGATGCTCTACTGTTTGAGCCACATCCCTAGCCCCAAGTATTTCCTTTTTTTAATTATAAATTTCTCATTAGGATATATTCATTATACAGGGGGGATTCGTAGTGACAATTTCAGTTAGATTTATATCGTACATTATTTACATTACCTCCACTGTGTCTCCCCCCCAAGTACTTCCTTTAAAAAAAATTTATTTTTCATGTGTTCATTGCTAACATGGAAGCACAATTTTTGTATATTTATCTTGTATCCTTCAACTTTGCTGAACTCAGGAAGTGTTTAGATCTTTTTGGATTTTCTCCTTAAACTATGATACCATTTGCAAATAGGAACAGTTCTGTTTCTTACTTTCTGGTCTGTATTGCTTATTTATTTCTTTTCTTGCCTTATTGCACTGGCTACAACTTGTAATACCATGTTCAATAGGAGGATGGATATCTTGCCTTGTTCTCAATCTTAGAAAGTGTAAATCTTCTTCAGTGTAAGTGTATTGAGTATAATGTTAGCTGTAGGATTTTGTTAATTGTTGTTTTATGTTGGCAGTTCTGGGGATTGAACCCTGGGCCTCACTCATGCTAGGTGAGCACTCTACCACTGAGCTACCCATCCTAGCTGCTGTAGGCTTTTGTAGTTGCTTTTTATCAAGTTGAACTTTCCCTCTGTTCCTAGTTTTCTGAGAGTTTTATCATGAGAGGTTGTTACATTGTTATGTACTTTGTTCCTCTTAGCCTCTGTAATTTCTGATAAGAATTATGCTATTAGCCAGGCGCCAGTGTCTTACGCCTGTAATCCTAACAACTCAGGAGGCAGAGATCAGGAGGATGGTGGTTTGAAGCCAGCCCTGGCAAATAGTTCACAAGACCATATCTCAAAAAACCCTTCACAAAAAAAGGGCTGGTGGAGTAGCTCATGGTGTAGGCTCTGAGTGCAAACCCCAGCACTGCAAATAATAATAATAATAATAATATGCTATCATTCAGGTTTTTATTTTACTTTTATTTTCTTAGATATAATGCATTGTTTTTGTAGCTGCCCATGGGGTTGTAGGTTTTTTTGGGTTTTAGTGGTACTGGGATTTGAACTCAGTGCTTCATGCTTGATAGGCAGGTACTATACTACTTGAGCTGCTCCACCATCCCATTTTTGTTTCTTTGTCTTGAGTGTTAAAGATGGCTGTGCTATGTCTTAGAGTGTGTTTCTTTGGGTTTATTTTGTGTGGGGTTTGCTCATCCTCTTGAATCTGTAAATTTATGCCTTTTGCCAAATTAGGGAAATCTTCAGCCATTATTGCTTTGAATACCTTTTTCAGCACTGCCTTCTGTCTTCTTCAGGGGCTCTGGTGACACAAATGTTGATATTTTGTTATAGTGCCATCTTTTCCTGAAATGATTTTTTTTCAGTCACTTTACACAAATCTTTAGGTAGGGTAATTTCTATTGCTGGTTCAGTGGGTTCCTTCTGTCCTTTCTCTTCTGCTGTTGAACCCATCCATCAAGTATTTTTTCTGTTCTGAAACTTCCATTTTATTCTTTATAGTTTCTCCTTTGTTTTAGGAGTATTCACATTGCTCATGGGAGTGTCCTGATGTCAGCTCTTAGGGTCTTTGTCAGGTGTTCCAATGGCTGTGTCTTCTTGGTGTTGGTGTCTGTTGACTATCATCTTTTTTTAGGTTGAGGTTGTCCTGGTTCTTGGCATGAGCGGTGATGTTTGATTTGAACTGGGACATTTTAAGGGGTTCAGATATGAGACTGGATCTTACTTAACTCTGAGCAGAGTAGAGCAGGCCCCTGTGACTACTGTGGGGCTGAGGGTGTTCCTTATGGCACCTAGGGAGGGTTCCTTGTTACTGTAGTAGGCCTTGGCAATCCCATCTGGCAAGGGGGGGAGGGTGTGACCTCATTACTGCTAGGTGGGGTTGGGATCAGGTTCCTGGGAGGCTGGTGGTTTTGTGGGGGTAGGGGTGGGGATGAAAGTCCCTGGTTTCTGTTGTGACATCATTGAGTGGGTAAGGGTGGGACTGCAGGTTTTTCTCTGGTGTTTGGTCACTTGTTTAAGTTTTCTATCTTTTTGCCCCTCTCCAGTCCCTTGCCTGGGTTGTGGCCATTGTATCTACACCCGTTGGCTTCTCCTGTACTTTCTGGACTGCATGCTTCTCCTGTGCTTTGTGACACAGGAATTAAAAGTTGCTCTCTCTTTGGGCCCTGGGATTCCTAGCCAGTCTGCATCCTTCTGTCACCTTTTGGAGCCTTTTGTTTTAAACATAATGTTTTATGTTTTTAGTTGCATTTAGCAAGAAACAGAAATCCTGTTGTGCTTTAATAAAATGTTGATGGATTGTCTTACTTACCACACAGATTTAATAATTAATGCTCTTTTAGCACCTCTTTTATTTTTAGACCGTCTCTTTTGAGATAAGCTCATCGTGTAGCCCAGGCTGGTCTGGAACTTTTTTTTTTTTTTTGGCAGTACTGGATTTTGGACTCAGGATCTTGCTCTTGCTAGGCAGATACTCTACCACTCAAGCCACTCCACACTCCACACACACCCACACTCCACACACACACACACACACACACCCTTTTTGCTTTAATTATTTTTCAGATAGGGTCTCGCATTCTTGCCTGGACACGCCTCATCTTTAAAAACACCTGTTTGCCTCCACCCTTTAAAGTTAACCTGTTGTTCAGACCCACGTAGCCCTGGGCACCTCTGATGCTACAGAGCCACAGCTAGGGAAGAAGCACAGCAGCCTTCAAACCTAAGAGCAGAGGCTGGCTCAGTGGTCTCACCCTGGAGGTGCTCCTGTGACAAAGCCATTGGTTTGGTGAGCTAAGTGGACTGCAGTGCTAAATGAAGGAGACAGCCTATTAACATTTCAGATGTTAGAGTGACTGCCAAACCAAGTTCCTTGTGTTTGAGTACCTTGTGACCTTTAACTTTTTAGAGATATCACTAGTTGGGCGGGGCGCCCCCCCCCCCCCCCCCCCTCCCGGAAAAGGTAATTCTTTAGTCAAAGAAATACTTTGAAGTTTAGTGTTTTTGTGTCTGTATTACAATTACAAAGAGGCATTATCAAGGAAGCTGTAATACCAGCACTTCAGAGGCTGAGGCAGGAGGATCCCAAGTTTGAGGCCAGCCTGGGCTGCATAGCAAGACCCTGTCTCTAAATAGATAAATACAAAAAAAAGGACATTTTGAGCCACTTTGTGGCTCAAGAGACTAAACACAGGCCAGGTCATGTGCTTAAGGCTCACACAGCAAGTTGGTGTTATACTAATACCTTTGCCATTAAAAAGTCATCTGTACTGTCACCCCTTCCCTCAGACAGTATTCTCTAGCAAAGGGTGTTAGGTTCTGTTAGCAGAGGAGAATTAATGCCTGTATTTCTCTCTACACATACATCCTACATCTTTTGTATTACTGTGGAGTAAAATAATCTTCGGGTGTGGAGTATTAGCCATGAGAGTTCCCAAGTCATAAGATCATAAGAGAGAGTCTGAAACAAACAAAAAAGATGGAAAATATTTTTAATTGTCCTTTTTTTTTTTTTTTTTTTGGTGGTACTAGGGATTGAACTCAGGGCCTCATTAGGCAGCCCTTTTTGTTTTGAGATAGGGTCTCAGTTTATGCCCAAGGCTGGCCTGGATCATGATTCTCCCATTTGTCCCCATAGCTGGGGATGCACACCACTGTGTCCAGCCATTGATTGAGATGGGGTCTTACTTTTTGCCTGGGCTGGTCTGGAACTGCAATCTTCCCAAGTAGCTAGGATTACAGATTCGAGCCACTACCTGGGTTGAATTGCTATTTATTATGGTTGCCAGCCAACAGACAGTCACCTGTGATGCACGCTTTCCCTCAGAGACGCAGTTGTTGGGAATCTGTTCCAGTTGTGTTTGCTAGCTATTGGCTTTTTAATTACCCCTGCCTATGCAATGCCATATTTATAAGGTGTCAGTGGTCAGTTGAATTCCCCCATTCTGGGCTGGGGACTTAGAGGCAGAACTCAGGTATTGGGTAACCAGGCACAGACCTCAAGGCCTTAGGACAAAACCATGTTTTTTATAAGTATATCATTTTCTGAGAGTGGGGCATTTAACACTTTCAAATTTTCCTTTTGTCCTTCCTTCTTTCCTTCCCTCTTGCTGTCATTCCTTTGGTCCTTCATTTGAAGTGCTGGGAATTGAATTTACACATGCTAAAGCAAGTGTAAAGCTTTATCTCCAGGTTGCTTTTTAAAATTTTTTTCCCCTGCATCTTGTTTTTCTCCAGACATACAGGTTTATTCTTGCATCTTGAAATAAATTATGGTTCATGTCATTTCTTTCCTAGGCATAATTTTATTTAGAAGCAATTTTATTGAGATGTCACACACAAACAGTGTGCCCATTTAAACGGTGGGTTTGAACATTTCCAGCATAGTAGCTGCTGTGCACCTGTCAGCACAATCCACTGTGGGCATCTTCGTCTCCCTGAGAAGACCCTTGGGGAGTGTTCATGAGGAGTTGCTCCTTGTTGCCCTGTCTCCCTGCCCCAGCATTGGGCAGCCACCAGTCCACTTTCTGTCCTTGTGAACTTGTCCAGTAAGGATGCTTCAAGTAATGACACCAAAATACCCATGTGATCTTCACTAACCACGAAGGCGCTCTATTGCTTAAGCCACTCCCCCAGCCCCTGTGAAGAAGTTTTTGTGTGAACTTTTTGTTACATGAAACACCTCACAAAGTTGTATGTCATCCTTGCTAATGTCTATGTTCTCTAGTTTTTGTATATGTGCTGCTCAGGCAAGCACTGGACACATTTTCATTTCTCATAGTTAACATGCCTAGGCTGGAATCCATAGAGTCTTGGTTGGCCTTGGACCGCAGTCCTCCTACCTTTGTCTCCTGAGTAGCTGGGATTGCAAGCATGCACTACCACACCTGCCCTGAAATCTGTGTTTTATGTTGTTAGTGTAGTGTCTCTTCACTGGGCTGTGGTAGTACCTGATTATTGATCATGTAGGAGCAGTAGATATTCCATTCACTTGGATCACAATGATGTTAGAAGTTGCCGAGAGCCAAGTAGCTTGTTGCAGGGCCAAAGAAAGACTTTGTTGTCAGAGAGGTTGGCATAGGGTCTTAGCTCTGCTGCTGGTAGTCTGTGCCTCCTGAGTAGCTAGGATTCAGGTGTGAGCCACTGGCGCCCGCTGGTTATTTTGTAGATGCGGTCTTATGAACTGTTTGCCTGGGCTGGCATTGAACCACAGTTCTCCCAATCTCAGCCTACCAAGTAGCTAGGATTATAGACATGAGCCACCAGCACCCAGCTAGCTTTGAACTTTTTAAATGTAAACGGTAATGTTTGCTCCTGGTATAGCTAACATGGCATCCTAGTAGGAGATGTGAGTGCATGTCTTTTTGACATAGTCATGCTCTGTCCTGCTCTGCAGCATGTGGACTCAGGCACTGAGCAGGTGGCTTACTGTTGGAAGTGCATTTACAGACCAGAGTCTGTCTTTTCTACAGAGTTGGGCACTTTTTTTCCCTGTAGCTTTTTCTTCTACAAAACTTTTTTTTGTTTTGTTTTGCAGTACTGAGGCTTGAACTCAGGACCTTCTCCCTGAGTCCCTCTGCCAGCCCTTTTTCTGTGATGGATATTTTCGAGATAGGATCTTGTGAACTATTTGCCCAGGCTGGCTTTGAACTGCAATCCTCCTGATCTCTGCCTCCTGAGTAGCCAGGATTACAGGCGTGATCCACTGGCACCTGGCTCCTACAAAACTCTTTTAAAACTTTTCTTTCTTGCTTTTTTCCACAGGTAGTCGTGAAAGGCTTCAGGACAAAGATGTTTCATTTAAGGACTTGTGCTGCTAAGTTGAGGCCGTTGACGGCCTCCCAGACTGTTAAGACACTTTCACAAAACCAGCCAGTAGCAGTTAGGACGTTTCAACAGATTCGGTGCTATTCTGCACCTGTCGCTGCTGAGCCCTTTCTGAGTGGGACTAGTTCCAACTATGTGGAGGAGATGTACTGTGCTTGGTTGGAGAATCCCAAAAGTGTACATAAGGTAAGGCTCACGGGGGTTGTCCCGTGGTAGTGTGTCAGTCTGGTGCTCAGGTAAGTATGTGCACCTGAAGAGTTTGGGGGCAGACAGGTGGAGCCCTGCACCAACCACTGCGTCGTTGCCTGCATCAGACCAGTGTGACGTCAGCAGAAGCCACAACCCCCTTTCTCGATGTCCAGCAACAGCCACCAGACTCAACTCTGCCAGCACATGGAGGAGCTATACAAGTACCCCGTGAGAACATGAGGAAGCCCAAATGTGATCCTGCAAGCATGTGAAGAAGATGGGGTGCGGCGTTCAGGACCTGCCTGCAGGGTGCTTCATGATGAGAGCTCGAAGAAAGAGAGTCTGTGGGCGAGCAGGACCTCATGATGCCATACCACCTAACTGCTCTGAGAGGACATGTCCATATTTGCCTTGCTTTCTGTATAAATGGCTTTTACATCATTGCGTTCTACTTTCCTTCTGTTTCTAATTTCTCTGCCTTACCTACCGAAGCACTTCCTTTTAAATTCCTTTCTTCACATATTTGCTGATAAGAAGCCTGGCGACAGTGACTAGTTGGAGGTTTCAGGAGCCATTTGTTGGTTCTCGGTGAGGCAGCCAGCTGATTCAGGGGTGCAATGTGGTGTGGCAGTAGGAGAGTGGCTTCCACACCTCTTCACCTGCACATCATCTGTGGGGTTGCTAGGAGGAGAGAAGGAAGTGACACGGGCAGGGCTCAGTGTCTTCATGGACACTCACCAGCATTGCTTGTCCTCACTGTGAATTTCCCCACCTTGAATCTTGGGGTCACCTTGCTGAAAGGCCATCTGTGTCCATTGGCTTCACCTTCAGGCATTAGTGACAATGAGGTGTGGCGACATTGCTGGGATGACTGGAGCCACCAGGCCCTGGTTTGGCAACAGTGCCCCCTTGCTTGGCCCTTCCCTGTTTCCATGGCAGCCCTGTTGCTCATGGAGCAAGGAGAGACCTGGTCTCTTGTAAGAGATCTGTACTTTGTGTCCTAGTAGGTAAACAAGTTGCCTAGGTGAAGCTCCCTGTGAAAAGTGCCCCTGCTTTGGGTATGTCAGCCCCTGGAGACTTTGATGGTGGTCATGTGGATTGTCTTTGAACAATAGCCCAGGGGTGTCAGAGTCGGAGGCTGTCACCTTGTGCCAGCACTCTCCCTTCCTTTGTTCAAGCATAAGCTTTTTGTGAGACCCTCCAAGTGTTTTCAAGTTGTGTGTGGCTGTAGAGGCAGCTGCCCCTGAGTGTGGAGGGTGAAGAGCGCCTGTGTGCTATGTTGCTGGGCTTGCCATGCTCATCCTGTGTGGTTGTGAGTAGGAGGTGCTCGGGGAGCTGGGGCATGGTGTCATCAACACAGAGCTGATGCAGCACAGCTGCTTCTGCTGGAAGCTTGCTCTTTTTTTCTGTTTTTTGTTTCTTCTGGGCTGGGGATCCAGTTCAGGGCAAGTGCTGCATCCCCCGCCCTTTGGTTTTTGAAACAGGATCTCACTCTGTAGTCTAGGCTGGCTTCAAACTGCTCCTCCTCCTCTCAAATTCTGAGATTATAAGTCATGCCACCCCGCCCAGCTGCTGATCGCTTTTGAGGAGTGCTTTTGTGGGGACATGGTAACTGTGTCCTCTCTCTTCATGGGTGGCAATGTGAATGACTTAATTCTCCTTGAAGTCAGTGCTGCTGGGGAAGCGTTTCTGGTTTTGCACTGGAGTTTAGGCTCTGCAGGTGACACAAGCACATCCTGGAGAGGCTCTGTTGGGGGAGGGACTTGTGCATGGAAGACATTTTGATCAGAAGGTATGTACAGGTCAAAGGTCCTGGGCAGAATTTATGCCTGTGTCAGGCAGGACATCATTGCTCCTCTACCTTGCATACACGAGGCAGGATCTCTTCAGGTCAAATTAAGCCCACGCATGGTATGTGTGTTCAGTTTCAGAGGTGCCTGTGATGTGCAGACCGTTAGAGATACTTCACATCACGAATGCTCCATGCCATGTACTGATGGCTGTTGAGAAATGGGGCAGGAGGACGGGTTGGGGAGAGCAGAGGAGGGGTGGAGCAGACCAAAGTGAGGTACACCTACAGCGGGGTACTTCAAGAAACCCTGTAAACATTGACTCAGATATTAATAACCAAAGACAGGACTGTGAAGTAGGTATGGTGTGTGTGGGGTGTACAAGTAGAGCAGGGAAGGAAAGGAGGGAATACAATGGATGGTCTTCATATACTTATATGAAACAGAACAAAGAAACCTCTTATAATTGCTTTAAGTGGGGCAGGGTGGGAGTGATCTAACCAATGTATATTGCTTATTTGGAGTTGTCACTATGAATCCCCTGTGTACAATGAATATATCCTAATTAAAAATTTTTTTAAAAGAAGAAAATTGCTTCAACGCTGGCCAGGCATGGTGGCTCATATCTCAGCTATTTGGGAGGTAGAGATGAGGAGGATCGAGGATCGAGGCTCAAGGCCAGCTGGGGCAAAAAGTTAGTGAGACACTCATCTCAACAAAAAGCCAGGCATGGTAGTGCATACCTGTTGCCCAGGTGTGTGGGAGTATAGGTTGGGGCAAAAAAGCGTGAGACCATGTCTGAAAAACAATAGAAAGCAAATAAAGAGTTGGGAATGTAGAGCACCTGCCTAGAGGGTGAGTGTGGGGAGTGGAGTATGAGAAGCCTATGAGAACTTGACATAAGCACAGCTATGCCTAATAATCTTTAGGCTGAGTTGGCATGGCCCTAGCCGCAGAAGGGGGCGAGGGCAAAATGCAGCATGACTGCTTTTCCTAAGATGTTTACATTCAGAGAATAGCGATCACAGGTTCCTCCTATGCCCAGTAATTACAATATCACTCCCCCCAAACTGTTCATCCACCTCCTTGTTTGCCACTGTATATAATAAACTTGCTGGAGATGGATGAGGCTGCTGCTGCCCAGGCTGCTGCTGCTGCTGTCTGTTGTATGTCTCCATCTGAGCGCCCAGCTTTCTGCACCAAGAACTTTATATTAGGCTTTAAAAAAGCTGTGCTAAAGAAAACATGGAACAGTGCGAGTCTAAGGACCGAGACTTTAAACAATGGAAAAGAAGTAAGGCTTTAAAGAATAGAGAAAAGAAACAAAGTAAAAGAAGAGAAGAATAGAGAAAAGAAGTAATAAGGCTGTTGTGTGTCTCCATCAGAGCACCCAGCACAGCTGATCCCAGCTTTCTGCATGTTGTCTTCTGTCTTTTGTCCTTTCTGCATCTCCAGTCGCTCTCAGTTAGGTTCGTAGGACCTAACAAAAGCCGTGAGAGGTGAGGCCCTGTGTTCAGTTACCCATATAGCCTCAAAACAAGCTTCATCCCCATCAGTGGAACCAAAAAGTTTTTCATGTGTGTCATGGTTTTAGAACATGAGAGTAGGCACAAGTTGACTTTCTCACCCATCCTTCTAGGCTCTGAAATCATTTTCAGAGAGCTCATGGGGAGGTCTCGAACTCTGCCTCCCCACCCTGCCCTGAGCCTCTTTCCTGCTACTGGGTGGTGGTGGTGTTTTTGTAAGACAGGGTCTCATATGTAACTGAAGTTGACCTTGAACATACATTCCTCCTGCATTTGCCTCCTGAGTACTGGGATTATAGGTGTGAACCACCACACCCAGCATCCCACTGTAGTATTTAAGGCAAATCACAGACTTTAGTCATTTCTGTCATGAAGGCATCAGTGTAACTGATTGATAAGGAGGTATTTTCATAACCACACTGAACAAAATTAACAGCATCATTCTCTAATGGAATCTCATCTCAGTTTGTATTGTTCTTTGCAATTACCTTCAAGCTGCCATTTTACGTGTGGTCTTAATACTTTATAATAGCTATGCACACACACACACACACACACACACACACACACACACCTGTGTTGTCTTGGTGGTGCTGGGAATCCAATTTAGGATATTTTCTTTTTTGAAAGTCTCACTGTGTGACCCAGACTGCCCCATGACTCCTGGCTCAAGTGCTCCTCCCGCCTCAGCCTCTCCAGTAGCTGGGATTACAGGCATGGCCACCACCCCAACTTGCATCCCCATTTTTGTTTATTATTTTTATTTTTTGTGTTGCTAGGAAGTAGTCTACCACTGTGCTAACACCCCTGATCCATTCCTGTTTTTAAAGAAAACTTAGTTTTTAAATGCTTAGGGTTGGAGGTACAGCTCAGTATTTGAGCTGTTGCCTACTTAGCATGTGTGAGGCCCTGAGTTCTATCTGCAGCACTGCAGAGAAAGAAAGAGAAAATACTGTTTAATTGTGACAGTTATGGTAAAGTATTGGAGCAATCCAGAGCTGCATGTCCCTCTTCCTCCTGTGCACTCCTCACTGCCACTCTTAGGAACCTTTGGTGGTGACCTGTACTGTCACCATCTGAAATCCTCTTTGTTAGGTCTCAGCATGTTGTGGACACATACAAAGATGACATCTTATGTTTACATATTAAAAACAGTCAAAGCTAAATGATCCTTGATAGTGGGTAAGGCAGACAGATGATTGAGAATCACTAAGCCCTCATCGGTCTTGGTCAGTAGGGACAGGACTACCCTCACGTGAAGCATGCTACCTGGCTCCTCCTGATGCACCTTCCAGTACCTGCTGAGGAGGATCCACATTTGGTCCTGAGGTGCTCCAGCACCTGCCTTAAGGGTGCCAGTCACTGGCTCTGTTGCCCTTCTCTGTCGGCTTGGCCTTAGATTTTCCCACAGTGAGCTCTGGACTTGAGAGTTCTTGCTTGACCCCTGTCCACTTCCTGACCCCTGCGCTTATGGTTCTTATTTGATAACCACTTCTTGTTGAATTTTAAAAGTGTGCTTAAAACTGGTTCATGGGTGGGATGCAGGTGGAGGAGGGCTGTCAGTCTGACCTCTGCATTTGACCTTGTTGCCCTTCTGGCCCTTTCCTCCTTCCAAGCTCTATGAAACGTAATCCTGTTGTTTTCTGTGAGTGAACAGCCAAGCAGAGAAAAGACACAGACA